ACTGAAGGGGTTTTGGAGTCTCTGGGTTCCCCAACACCCAAGAGCACAGCAACGCAGAAGTCGACGATCTCCCTCAGGGCCCGCGGGACTTACTAAGTAAGGTTCCGTAGGGTTCTTCAAAGGGATCCGCAAAAGGGAGCTATAAGGGTTCAGGTGACCTGGTATGGGTTATAATGGGAGTTGCAAGTCCCCTAAGTAGGTTTTACGTATAACTATAACCTTCCTAGCTAGAAACCAGTCCCTTCAACTCGACACAGCATGCCTAAACCTTTCATATAAATTTCGCAAGAGCCACAAACCCTGAGCAAGTAAGACCCAGAATTCCTAAAATGCTCCAACGACCTAAACTCTCTCTCTCTCTCTCTCTCTCTGTCTCTTGCACCCTTTAAACCCACAACCATCACTACCACCGCTCCCTCGGAACAAAACTACTCTAAACCCTCCCTAGACCCCTAAACCCTAAACCCTCCGCAGAGAAAGTCCCAAAGCACTTTAACCCCCCAAAAAAAAGCTAAACCCCTGAACCCTAAAATCTCGACTTCCAGGCGGCGCGCTCTTCATCGAGCCTTCCGCCTCAGCGGCGAAGCTCCCTACTGGCAGCTGGCGTCCAGTCACAGATTTGAAGGCCCCGCCTCGATTCTTTAGGTTTTAAGGGTTTACCCTAAGCAATGATCTGCTCAAGTGGGCCATCAAACTCATCTAGGGTTTAGGGTTTAGGGTTTAGGCTCACTCTAAAGCTCCATGTTCCCATATAGTAGATACTTAGGCCATAAAGTACCTATAGGGACCCCTTTAAGGCTTAAGTATCTACTGTAAAAGTACATGGAGCAAATGGGTTAGGGTTTAGGGATTCTTTTGGTTGTAATATAGGGGCCTTAATAATTAGAATGGGGTTTTGGGGGTTCCTTTCAAGGGTTCCTTAAGGGGTTCTATAAGGGCTACGATAAGGGTTGAGGATTTAGGGGCTTTAAACATAGAATAGGGTTTGGGGGCCCATTATACTATACTTATAATAAGGCACCGCCAAAAACGTATAGGTAATTGTGTAGGCCCCTATATAGTATACTTCTTGTGTTTTTTTCTGCTTAAGCGCCGCAGTGTCATGGCCATGATGATTACAATGTTGGCGCTCCTGATGATTAACCTTGCGCACGTTGTTGCTAACGGTTTATGAAACAATAAAGCCGAGTGCTGTCCATCCGCAGTAGTACTGCTGCTCTTTCCACCGGTAATAAGACTCATAGTTGGACTAATGCAGCATTAGTGCTGCTTGTTAAGCCAGGCAGACTAGGTTGGTATAGGATTCATTCTGAAATCCCTAAGGGTCCATGTGCCCCAAATTACGATGGCAAAACCCTAAACCATCTCGAGTCCGGCGAGGCCAGTGTGGTTTTTGACCTCGGCAATGATCTGCTCAAGTGGGCCCTCAAACTCATCGGGTTCAGGGTTGAGGGTTTAGGCTTACCCTGAGGCTCCATGTGCCCATATAGTAGATACTTAGGCCTTAACGTACCTATATACGGACCCCTTCAAGGCCTAAGTATCTACTATGAAGGTACATGGAGCTTTGGGGATTAAGGAGGCCCGAGTGTATGGCACGATGGCTGTGTTAGAGAACCCTAAACCCTAAACCCTAATCCCTAAACCCTAAACCCTAAACCCTAAACCCTAAACCCTAAATCCTAAACCCTAAACCCTAAACCCTCTCCCGAGTGTATGGCACGATGGCTGTGTTGGAGAACCCACGCACGCCCTGGATATGAGAAGTCCCCGAGCTGAGGGAGCTCATGTCTGGACCGGACGGACATTGCACCACTGTCTTTGCGGGTTTAGGGATTAGGGTCTAGGGATTAGGGTTTAGGGTTTTAGGGCTTTAGAGGTCTAGGCCTGGGAAGAAGGCAACATCGCTCGCCATATGGGGGAAGTTTTCCCAGCTCAGGCTTGCAAAGATCATGTCTCCATGTGAACAGAAATTGGAGGCATGTTTTAGGCTCAAACGGGGCCCTAAAGACAACCTACCTCTAAACTTACCCTGTGCAAGTGCAAGGGCCCCCGATGCACTGTCACTGGCAAGAAGCACGAGCGATTGCATGGTCTTGACCAATGTTCTGCAGTGCTGGTGCTAAGGTTATCCTTTAGGGTGAACTTATCCCCAAATTCCGGTGTTCTGGGGCCGTAACCCCGAATTGGGGATCTAACAGCACCCGTGTGGGCCCCAAGTTTTCAACGAAAACGATGGAGGACACGGTAAGTAGATTATAAGGAGGATCTGAAACAGGACATCCCCAGCTGCCCTAGAAAGCCATGTTTACAAACACCTAGTACGCACGTGAAGGTGTAGAGTTAGTCCCTACCTTAGGCTATTTGGGGTCGGTCTTAGTGCTAGGGAAATTAAAATATCTTATGATTCTACGCACCTAGATGTCACGGCCCGTTGTTACAGGGCTAGGAGGCTAGGCAGTAGCCCGTTCAAAGCTGAGCCCCAAGCCCTACTTGGACCCCAGGGAACCTGCCGTTTTAGGGTTTAGGGTTTAGGCTTATTCTGATTTCCTCATAAGTACTTAAGAGGATTCGGGAGTTTCCGCAAATAAGGGGTACCTTATTTTGGGGTCCTTTTAGTAAGGATCCTACTAGTCGGGGTACTATATGGGTCCCCTATTCTCGGAAGCCTCCATTGAGGGTCGCCGCAGACTCCTAAACTCCTAGGGGTTTAGGGGCTGAAAGTTTGCCGGGGCCTGAAATAAGCCAAACTTGTCGGAGTCATGGGAGCTCTTCGTCGCCTTTTCGCGAAACCCTAAACCCTAAACCCTAAACCCTAAACCCTAAACCCTAAACCCTAAACCCTAAACCCTAAACTTTAAATAAGATGACATCCTTCAGCCTTCTCGGATCCCCCTAAACCCCAACCCCCAAACCCCACACCGGTTCAGGGTGTTAGGGTTGAGGCCTTAGGTCTCAGGGTTGAGGCCTTAGGGCTGGGGGTGTTGCGTCCTGGGTTTAGGGTTTGGGGGCTTAGGGTTTACTGGGTTTATGGTTTAGGGGTTTACGGGCTTGGGTTTAGGGTTTAGGGTTTAGGGTTTACTGGGTTTACTGGGTTTACTGGGTTTACTGGGTTTACTGGGTTTACTGGGTTTACTGGGTTTAGGGTTTAGGGCCAGGGGTTCAGGGGTTTGGGTTTAGGGTTTCCTGGGTCTATAGGGTCAAGAGTTTGGGGGTCAAGGTCTGGTGCGAGAAGTGTGTAGGGCTTCGGCACCATTTTGGGGTCATTTCACTTGCGGATGTGCGGCTGGCCTGTGTCACAAAGACCATGCCACGAGATGTGTTGGAAATGGGCCGGAAGTTAAAGCTTTTCACCAAGGGTCCAAATGAATGACGTGCTTGCATTTAGGACAGCAGCTTCGTAGGTTTCTAGTTCGGAGAGTGTATGATTGTCGGGTAGGTTGGGCCTTCGACCCCTAAACTCTCAGTACCTCAAGCACCGTAAACCCTACACCGCCTACACCCTCAGCCCCTAAACCCTGTACACCCTACACACCCTAAACCCTAAACCCTAGACACCCCACGCACCCTAAACCCTACACGCCCTACACACCTAAACCCTAAACCGCCCTAAGCCCCACTGCCTGCCACAGTGTGGAACCATCCTCGGTGTCCTCTTTACCGGTGAGGAGATGGTCCTCTTGCAAGATGGCGAGGACCGACTGGAGAAGCAAAGGGCTTAAGGTTGGGGGTTTAGGGGTTTAGGGATTAGGGTTTTAGGAATTTGGGTTCAGGGGTTTAGGGTTTAGGAGTTTAGGGATTAGGGTTTTAGGAATTAGGGCTCAGGCGTTTAAGGTTCAGGGTGTTAGGCTTTCCGGCTTAAAGGTTCAGTGCTTCAGTGTGGTTTACTACGGGCGTTTAAGGTTGAAGGTTTACGGATGTTTAAGGTTTATCGGGTTTAGGGTTCAAAGTCTAGGTCTAGGGTTTAGGGATATTCTGCGGTAGTTATTACCGTGAAGGGCTTGGGGGTGGGGCTCTAGATAAAGGGCTTCGGGTTACGTAACAGGTCAACTTGTCGGCCCAATCTAGGATGAGCAATCAGATATCCCTAAACCCTAAACCCTAAACCCTAACTTTCTGGTCTGAGCTTTATTATTGAGAGTGCGGGCCAAAGACATGTATACGCCCCAAACCCTTCCGACCTCAGGTGGTAGCCAACATGCCATGCTACGCAAGGTGTTTCTGTAAATTTATTACGTTTACCTGTATGGTTTAGGGTTTAGGGTTTAGGGCCATCCTGAACTAAACCCTAAGCTCTAAAGCGCCCTTCTAGCCCAACTTCCTTCCAGAAGCTTCGCAGTTCGCAGATGCTAAGCTTAGCGTAGCTGCCCTGATCTGCGCAAAAAAAAACACCGAGTTCCGTTTAGTATTCGCCCTTAAACGTTAACCTAAGGGCCAATGGCCCAATAGTTAGGTGTTTGGTCTTGGGATATTAGGTTGGTAAATTACTATTTTGGGAAGTATATGATTAATTCCTTAGATGCTCAGTCTTAACTTTATAAGGTCCAAAGCCCGCCAGCCTCACATCTCTACAGAGACTCAGTCTCCCTAATTGGTTTAGGACTTAGGGATGTTCAGGGTTTTAGTTGCACTGCGCTTGTTCAGATCCAAACCCTAAACCCTAAACCAGAAACCCAAACTCATTCACATCGAAACAGTAAGTTGAGTAACAGCCCTTACCTGCAGCATTCTCGTTATGGCCTTATTCCGGGGCCTGATTGCCGCATTCTCCGTGCAGACCCCTTTGGGAACTAAGCTTAGGAACCCCAAAAAAGGACATAAGCATAAGCATTTTTATAGGGATATCCCTACCATCTTGGGCTTCATTATAAGTGGGGTTTATATGGGATATCCCTATCCTATTTTTTGCTTATGTGTTTTTTGGGGCCTATAAGCCCGCAGTATCCACCGCCCCGACAACAGGGTCTGTAATCCGATCACCCCAAACCCCAAACCCTGAAACCTCAAACCCTACACCCCAAACCCCAAACTCTGAAACCCCAAACCCTAAACCCCAATCCCCAAACCCCAAGCCCTAAACCCCAAGCCCTAAACCCTAAAACCGACCTGTCAGGAACGTGTCCGGATGCCCCTGACCGCAGCAACCTGAGTTCACAGAGACTCCAATATCCCTTAATTAAGGAATCTACCTTAAATCTTAGTGTTAGGTTCCCTACTATAATTTAAAGTATATTCCTTAATTAAAGGATTTTGGAATCTCTGAGTTAAAGGAAACTACAGGTGGGGAGTTTAGGGTATATAGAGCTTCTATAAGGCTTCCATAAGGTTTATAATAAGGCTCCTATAACGGTAACCCTAAACCCTAAGCCCTAAACCTACCCACCTGAAAATGTCCTAGACTGGGATTGCAATTCTGCGGTTTCTGTAGGCCTCAGGGCTTGTTGTTCTGGGACGTTGGGTTCAGGGTTTAGGGATTTTGGCGATTTTGGGTTCAGGCTTCAGGAGTTTGGGGAGTTTGGGGAGTTTGGGGAGTTTGGGGATTGTGGGTTTAGGGATTTTGGGGAGTTTGCGGAGTTTGGGTTTAGGGTTTAGGGATTTTGGGGAGTGTGGGGAGTTTGGGTTTAG